TTTAGCCCCCACATACCATGTCTAGCCACTTGGGTTTGGGAAACATTTCTGGTGGAACACACGGGAGTCGTTGAAAGCATGAGGCCCTACGGGCTGCCGCTAGTGGGGCATGTGAACATTGGACATGAGGAGGGGCTTAGAGAATTCTAAATTCCTGAGGCTCAAAAACCTGGCATTTTAGGGATCCGCTGGGTAGAAGGAAGGCTGGGGTTGGAGGCCCCACCGTGGACTGGAGGGGGCTCAGTGATCAGCTGTGACCCAGACGGACTCTTTAGGTGCCAGATTTCAGCAGTGTTCCCCCACGCGGTTGGAAGCATTGCTTCGGAGTGCGGGTACTGTGAGTGCTACCGCATCAGATGATAACATTTTAAAGGATTCTTAGCTCCCATTTCTGTGCAGCCTTACTAAGATTTCTTTAAAAGTATAGAGGTCCGGAGTTTTTAAAAAATCTCTCGAGTCCAAGGACTATGACAATACCATGTTTATGCCTCTAGAAGGAGAAAGTACTGCCTCAAGGAGGTAGAATTTCCCCTTTGGTGTCAGGTGGTGAAGTGTGCTGCCTGTCACTTGTCTCTTTAGGGAGATCCAAAATACTGGCTTGTTCTCTACTGGATTAAAAGTTGAGGTGGATGCATACATATAGACTCAGCCTTTGAAACTTAATGAACATCAGCTTCCTCTCTTCGCCCAGGTTTTATCAGATTAGATTTTTATGGCTTCAATAGAAATCTCAGGCCTGGATTGATCTACACAAAAATCTTGATGTTGTAATTATACCTTGGTTTACGTTGGTTTTTGCTCTGAGTATGGTCTGGCAGTCTGAAGAACTACTGAGATAGGAAACACCCGGAACCAGAGAAAACTTGGTTCCAGGGAAAGAACAGTGGTGTGGGACTGGAAGACTGACTCACGTAGAAATAGCAAGAAATAGAAAGACTGAAGAAGCCATCAAGACTTTGTCCCGAGATTGGCAGATAAAGCGTGCCGTTCAAGTTTTTGCAGAGAAACACATCACTCTTGGGCCCCTTCTTAGCAAGGCGGTTTCGTGTCCAACAAGCTGCTAAAGGTCCAGCCTTGTTCTGGAGGGTGTGTGCCGACACTAACTTGCAGCCCTGTAAGCCATGAGATCTCAAGAAACTCAGCTTTAAACCGTCTCACGTAGTCACGAAACCCGGGACATCACAGCCACGAGCAGGGGAAATTGATGCCCCACGGTCAGACGGTGGCATTGGCATTCTGGGCAGAGAGGCCGTGCCCACGCAAGCAGCTAAACCATCGGTGGTCCCCTCCATTATCACGGGCCATTTGCATCCTCAATCTGGATGATCTTCCGCTGGAGCTGTATAACCCAGAAACAAAAGATGTGACTTAGAGTATTTGTCTTTGGGTCTTTTTGGCAGCTGTAAGGAAATGTGTAGAGTTCCTTGCCCAGCATTAAGTGAGAAATTACAGTTATAAAAACGGTACCAAAACAAAACAAAAGCCTCGATACTTTTGGAGGCTCATTTCTGTAGCCCTCCAGCTCCTGAGCAATCCGTGGAGCGGCGTCCCACAAGCTCTGGGTCGCTTCTCGCCGGGGCATCGGCAGTAGAAGCAGCAGGGCCCAACCATACCTTTTCTGAGCTAATTGTATTTATTTGCTTTTCGGTGTCAGCTTTGATTCAGGACTGACCATGGAAATGGCTTAGGTTTGGTAACCCGAGCACATCAGAAAACCTCTCACTAACGTGTTACATTTTAACAACAGTGCTATCCTGATGGTGCGAACCAACTCTCGTTATAAGCTGCTATCAAAAACTTCAGTTTCCTTTTCGTTTGGGTTTTTGGCAGCAAGTGACAATCTTTTGGGTCCCAGATAGGAATTAGTAGGGGGATGTCTCTGGTCCCCCGGGAAGGAGATCCTCTGCTGGGTCTTACGTGTTTGGCCTGCAGGGAAGGAGAATTCCTAGGGCTGCCTTTAGCCCAGAGGAGAACCAAGAGTACAAGCGTTTTGACAAAAATTGTCCCTTCTGACCTCAAAACAGCCTCGACGGGCTGGGTGCCAGAGTACGGGATTTACACAAAAGTACCCAGAGAAGCAGAAGAAGACAATTTGTCCAAATCCCCTGTCTCCCAAGGAGGGCTAGCCGACCTCCACCCCAAGGCTCCAGATGTGGAGTTGGAAGTCTGTGCCATTTGCCCAGCGTGGCAGATTTGGAGTCTTCCGCCCACCTGCTGCTCTCTGCCCTTCAAGTTTCCCGCAAGCTAGCTGGCTTGGGATTTAGGCATCGCAGAATCTCTTGAAAACTTCATCACAGGGGTGCCTGGGTGGCTCAGTCTGTTAAGCAGTTAAGCATCTGACTTGGGCTTAGGACATGATCTCACGGTGTGGAAGTTCAAGCCCCGCGTCGGGCTCTGTGCTGACAGCTAGAGCCTGGAGCCTGCTTCAGATTCTGTCTCCCTCTCCCTTCCTGCCCCTCCCTCACTCATGCTCTGTGTCTCTCTCTCCCTCCCTCTCTGTCTCTCAAAAATAAATAAACATTAAAAAAAACCTTAATCATAAATCATCTTTGGAGTCCCTAGGACGTGTGTGCCTACTGTGGAGAGTGGTACATGCAAGACAAAAGCCCACTTGTGGCTGAGTAGACTTTCCCAAGGGCAACCCTCATGACCTTGTTGAGCCTGGGCGTCACCATTAAGGTGACATCATGGCTTGATGCGAACATTCATAACTAACAAGCTTTATGTTACCTCAGAGGAAGACGTAAACTGACTTGAGCCCAGCAACACTAACACACACGCCAGAAGGTACCAGTGAGTTCTATTTGAATTTTGAGAATTTAGGCAGTAAATTTTTGGACTCTATTGAGGTGGAGTTCAAACTAATGACCAAATGGTTTTCAGTGGCCCAGCGTTTCTCCACAGACCTAGGTAGACCTCACTGGCTTTTTCCCAACCTACCAGATACCTCCACAGCTGCTTCTAAAAGAAACTAC